GTCCCGCCGCAGCCCCCGCAGTGCCCCACGTCCCCCCCCGTCCCCCCGGCGTCCCCCGCGTCCCCGCACCGTGTCGCTCCAGCCGTGCCAGGCGCTGCAGCTCCCCGCGCAGGTGGCCCAGGCTGGCGTTGAGGGCGCCGAGCCGGGCTGGCAGCTCCAGCGCCTTGTCCAGCAGGGCGGCCTGCCCGCGGGCCGTGGCGTTCAGGTCCCGCACGGCGCCCCACAGCCCGGCCACGTGCCGGCCCAGCCCCTCGCGGACGCCCCGCAGCCCCCCGGCCACCGCCTCCAGCTGCTCGCAGACCCCCTCCAGCTTGGCCACGCGTGGCTCCAGCCCCGCGGGGCAGCCCCCGGCCCGCGACAGCTCCCGCGCCAGCGCCTCCAGCCGCTCCTCGCTCTCCGCCTGTCGCGCCGCCGACGCCGCCGCCGCCTGGTCCAGCTCGGCCACCACGCGGTCGGTGGCGGCGCTCAGCTGGCGCTGCCGGGCGTCCTGCTCCTCCAGCGCGTCCTGCAGCCCCTCCACCGTGGCGTTGAGCCCGCTCAGGGCCGCCAGCGCCGCCGTCAGCTCCCCCCGCAGCACCCGCAGCTCCGACGGGGACGGGCCCCCGAAGACGCCGAAGCCCTCCAGCGGTGCCTCCGGCTCCTCCGGCTCCGCGGGGCCGGGCGGGAGCTGCTCCGGCTCCCCGGGGGACGGCGAGGCGCACGGCCGGGCGCAGGGGTCGCCGCCCAGCTCCTCCAGGGCCGCCTCCAGCCGCCCTGTCCGGTTGCGGAGCTGCTCCAGCTCCTCGGCCAGCGCCTCTCCCTGCAGCACTCCCAGGGTCCCGGTCAGCCCGTCCTCCCAGAGACCCTCGGTGTCCCCTGGCTGCCGGAGGTGGGGGCCGAGCGCCCCGTCCTGCCCCGGGCACGGGGGGCCGCAGCGGGCCAGCAGCCCCTCGAGCTGGTCCAGGCGGGCACCGCGCTGCGCCCCGCTCGCCGCCAGCCCCTCCACGGCCCGGCTGAGGTTGGCCAGGCGCCCCGGCAGCCCAGCCGGCCGCCCCTCGGGCTCGGAGGGCCACGGGCCGGCGCGCGAAGCGTTCAGCCGCCCCTCCAGCTCGGCCAGCCGCCGCGCCAGCACCGGTCCCTGCCCCGGCCCCGCTGCCGGCACCGGCAGCCCCTCCAGCCGCCGCTCTAGCTCGGCCAGGCGACGGAGCACGTCCGGGGACGGGGGAGCCGCCGGGACGGGGGCCAGGCGGCTGCTCAGGCTGCTGATGTGCCTCTGCACCGACTCCACCGCATCCCTGTTGCGCTTGTCCACCGAGCCCACCAGCTTCTCCAGCGCCCGCATCCGCTCGCGGTCCTCGGCCGCCTGCCGCCGCAGCCCCTCGGTGCCGGTGGTGCAGGCAGCGCACAGCTCCTGCAGCCGCTGCTCCAGCTCGTACAGTGCCGCCGTCCCCGGGCCCCCCGGAGCCCCTGGGCCGTCCCGGCCGCCCTCGGTGCGGTGCAGGCGGGTCTCCAGCTCCTCCAGGCGCCGCTGAAGGTGGCTCAGCGCCTCCCGCACTTCGGCGGGGGCGGCCGCGTCAGCCGGCTGCTCGCCCCCGGGCTGCCCCTCCACAGCCGCCCGCGGCGGCTCCTGCCCGGCCCGCAGCTCCTCCAGCTGCTCGCTCAGCCGCCGCACCTGCTCCTCCAGCCGCCGCACCTTCTCCGAGTCTCCGCCGCCTGCCGTGCACCGCCGGGGTCAGGGGCAGGGGCAGGATCAGGGGCAGGGGCAGGATCAGGATCAGGGGCAGGGGCAGGGGCAGGATCAGGATCAGGATCAGGGGCAGGGGCAGAGGCAGGATCAGGGGCAGGGACCGGTGCTGGCGCGGATCAGGGGCAGGGCGAGGGCCACACGCAGCGCGTTCCCCTCCCCCGCATCCCCGCCCCAGCACTACCTTCGCCCCCCAGGCCACTGAGGGGGTTGCCGAAGCCAGAGAGCGTGGGGCGGCCGGGCCGGGGCGGGGGGCGGCCGGTGGGCTGGGGGGATGCTGGAGCGGGCCCCTCGCTGCAGTCCGGCCCCGAGTAGCCCTGGCAGCAGCGCCAGGCCAGCTCGGACACCGTGCGCTGGGACACCTTGTAGCGGGGCCGGAGGAAGCTGCGGTACCTGCAGGGGGAGGGGACGGGCTTGGGGGACACCAGGAGGGGCGCGGGGCTGCCCCAAGGAACCGGAGCCAGCACAGGCTGCGGCCTGACCCAGCCTGACCCAGCAGCGCCGGTGCCTCGCTCAGCGGCCGGGGGCTGCCCCTGCCCAGCCCTGTCACCAGTCCCAACACCGGTGTCACTGGTGTCACTGCTCTGGTCTAGAGAGCTGTGGGGTGCCTCAGGGCTCTGGCTGCACGTGACGAGCGGGGGGACAGTGTCCGGTCACCCTCCGGTCACCGCTTGAGGCCACTGACTCTTGCGCAAAAGTAAACATGCCCCCAGGGTGGGTAAACACCAGTGGCGGCGGCACGGCCGCGCCTCCCCCGGCTCTGTGCTGCCCCCCAGAACGCCCCGAACCCCTCCGGAGCCCTCCAGCCCCACTCACGCCAGGACTCGGGGGCACTGGAGCTGCCCCCAGGCGCAGGGCTGGTAGTCTGGCTTGATGAAGCTCTCGACGCCATCCTCCACCACGCAGCTCACGCTGCGTGTCACCACGTAGGCACACCAGTTCCTGCGGAGGGAGGGGGTCAGGGCACACACCCGGAGAGCGCTGGCACACGGCATCACCCCGGCACACACCGGGCGTGGTCCTGGCACGGACCGAGCACGGCACACGCTGGGCATCATCGGGGCACCACCTGGGCACACACCGCGGGCTCTCCTGGCATCCAGGAGGCACCATCCCGGCACGGAACAGCCACTGGCACTGCCCTGGCACTGCCCTAGCATCACAGCGGGCGGTGCTCCGGCACACACCATACACAGCATCCCGTCACACACCAGGCATTGTCCTGGCGTAGAGCAGGCACCAGGCATCACCCCGGCAGAGACATAGCAACACCAGCGGGCCAGCCTGCCCCGGGCCTTGCCTGGCACCCTCCGGCTCCCCAGGCACACCCCGCATCCCCCAGCACACCCGGCCCCTCTGGCCACACCCCGCATCCCCCGGCGCGCTCCCGTGCTTGCCCAACCAGCCCCACCGGTAGCACCGTCACGGCCAGTGCGGCGGGTTAATGGGCCGGATCTTGCCCCACCGCAGCCTCCCAGCCATGCCTGGCGACCCCGCAGACACGGCTGCAGCCCCCAGCCGTGGCTGCCCTGCAGGGATGGGCTCTGCCAGGAGCAGGGTGCCCACAGCCCATCACGCCGGGCCGTGCATCCTGCGCTGCCCGGCCCGGGGAGGGCACCCTGCGTGCTGCCCCACCAGCGACCCCGTGTCCCCTGCCCGCTCGGGGCAGCAGCAGCTGCGGCAGCCGCGCACTGGTCCCGGTGCAGCGCCGCAGCCCGCGGGGACCCCAGCCCCCCCGCGTGGGACTGCAGCCTGGCCCCGCTGCCGGGACCCCGGCGCAGCCTTATATGGTCGGGACCCAAAGCCGGGCCCCGCTCGGGCCCCCCGGGCAGCCCCCCGGGGAGCGGCCCCCGGTCCCCGCCGCGGGGCCCCGGTGCGGCGGCCGGTTCCCGTCAGCCCGGCTGGTTCCCCTCAGGCCCCGGCTGGATTCCAGCTCCTCCCCGGGGGCCGCCGGGAATTCCTGCGCCGACCGACGGCCCCCCTCTTCTCCCCCCCATCCCAGCCCTGCACCCGCCAGGCCCCGGGACCCCCGGGCTGCCCTGGGGTCCCACCGCCCCGTTCCGGGGCTGTCCCCATCCCGGGATGGGACCAGAGCTCCCCTGAAAGGGCAGGGTTGGGGGACACCCCCGTGCTCCCCGGGCCGCGGGGATGGAGGGCTGCACACCCCGACCCGTGGGGAGCCCCCCTGAGCCCCCAGAGCCTCAGATAAATGCTCCACCGTGCCCGTGCCCCACGGCCCCGCCGGCGGCGCCCCTCCCCGGGGACCCCAGGCTGCGGCCAGGTCCCGCCATCCCCCCGGGGCCACCGTGGGGCCGGGGCAGCCGCAGCCGCGCTGCTGCAGCGCTGATGTGTCCGCGGTGAACACGCTGTGACCCCAACCCAGCGTGGGGCCGCCCCCAGCCCTGCGCCCCCGCAACGCCCCCGACCCACGGCCCCGGGCTGCCCCACGCTGCCCGCGGTACCAGACGGGACCGGGATGGGCAGAGGGCGGGTCCGGGCCCCCGAGCCCCTCTCCGGCAGCGCTGACCCACGCGTGATGCCGAGCACGAACCGGCCCTGAATCCTCGGCCCCGCTGCACCGGCGGCCCCGACCCTCCACGTGCGCCCACTGCCCGCCCGTCCCGGGCCTGGGGGTGACGCCCCCGCTTAGGGGACCCCCCGCTCCTCCCGCCGCCCCCCGGCCTGGACGTGGCACGTGCCGGGCTTCCCGTGGCATCGGGGCGGGGGCTGCAGCCCGTGTCCCCGTGTCCCCGCCGCCGCCCGGGTCGCCCCGGTGCATCCCGGTGCTCGTGGCTCCTACCTGTGCCGGCTGGCGGCCCGGGCACCGCTGTGGGCCGCGGCCGGGCCGGGGGCGAGCGGGGCGGCCCCGCCGGTGTAGAGGCTGTACCGGGGGGGGAAGTTGGCGGCCAGGGCCTGCGCGGCCAGAAGGCACGGCCAGAGCCAGGGTGCCATGCTGGGCTGGGGCGGCTCCGCTCGGCTCGGTCAGCGCGGTCCGGCGCGGCTCAGGACCGCATGTGGTGTCCCGTCGCGGCTCCGCGGCTCTGGGCGGCTCGGCACGGCTCGGCTCGGCTCTGCCCTCCCCCCGGCCGCCCCTCGGCCAGCCCCTCGCCACCAGTCCTCGTTAGGCCGGGCCGGGCCGGGGCAGCCAGGGAGGCCGGGCAGGGGGCCAGGGCGCGGGCGGCCAGCGAGGCGGCCGGGGCTACCGCCGCGGACATCGGTCCCCACGGCCGCCGCTCCGCCGCTGGCACCGGTTCCGCACCGGTCCCGCACCGGCTTCGCGCGGTGCCCCGCGTCTCCCCGACCGCCGGTGGCCTCGCTCCTCGCCCCCGCTCTGGGCACAGCGGCGACAGGTCCCTGCACCGGCACCGCACCCGGCAGTGCCACGTCCCCGCGTGCCCGTGAGCCCGTGCCAGGTGACGCGTCCCGGTGCCAGCACCGCGCCCGGTGCTGCCCCGCGCCCCCAGCCCCACCCGACACCGTGCTGGGGACACCGGGGACACCGGGGACACTGGGACGGCAGCGGTCACACCGCGGCCACCCCGGGCCGCCGTGGCCCTGAGCCCACGGTGATGCCATGGCTTCCCCCGACCTGGCGGTGACGTCACGGCCTCACGGTGACATCACGCGTTGGCCGCGGCCCCGCGGTGACGTCAGGGCGCGGGAACCCCCCGCCCCGGGGAGCCGCGGGGGAGGGTTAAGCACAAACAGCTGGCGGCAGATGGAGCGGGAGCGAGCGAGGGAGGGGACACCGGGGAACGGGACGCGGAGCCGAGGGGCCCGGGCTTGGCCGGGTGCCAGCCGTGCCTGCTCCCGAGGGGATGGCGGCACCTCCGCTGCGCTCTCGGGGGCCCTGGGGGCTGCGGGGGGCCATGGGGGGCTCAGGGGATCTGCGGGGGGCTGTGGGGG